GGGGACAGGGTGAGAGATTGGGACAGGGTGAGAGATTGGGACAGTGTGTGAGAAATGGGGAAAGGTGGGAGATTGGGACGGGTGAAAGACTGGGACAATGTGTAAGAGAGGTTGGGACAGAGTGTAAGATTGGGACATTGTGAGAAATCTGACAGTCTAAATCTGCGGCTCCGAATAAGAAGTCTGATCCGGCACATTTGGACTTGGTTTTGTCTGATTTTGTAATTTACCTTTAAACGCAATCTTCACGAAGTGACCCTTTGGCTGAGCTCATTCCTTCTCACGGAGGCTGTAGGTCAGTGGATAAGGCTGGTCAGATAATGTGGGGACAGAGCGGGATTGTTCATTCAGTGTGTGGGAATCACGCGAACTGCCTCACATTGCCTGTGTTTGCTGTGAGCTACCACTCCCGTTCACCCCACAACCACAGCTCAATGTGAAACTTCATGCGTTCCCCACAAATCCCACCGCTTTTCACTCAATCCCATACCTGTCCACATAAGTCCCTGTCATGAAGGCGATTCTTTTACTCTCTGTGTTTGTTGCTGTGATGGGAGTTACAGTGTCTTTGAGGGACAGTATCGCTTTAAACAGGCGGGACTCTCTCGGTGAGCTAACACCGACCAATCGGTGCGGTGGCGGCCGGCCTGTTTAAAACCAGGTCGGCACCAATGTTCCCAAATTGTGTCGGCGCAGCCATCCCGAGCAGCGGGCACCGGCTCAGCGGGAAGCAGCGGGCACCGGCAATGGCAGAGAACGGGCTCCTTGACAACGGGGAGACAGAAAGAGCGAGAGAAAGTCCGGCCCGGTTACCGACAGCAACCAAGCCGCTGGCGGTGAAATACACCAAGGTACGGTAATGACCGGGAGAGAGAGGGAGAGCAGAATTTCACTGCCGGAGTCTCGTTACACCAGTCACTGTGATCCGGAGTTAGTGTGAACAGGAATCGGGACAGAGGGGATCTGATTCACTGTGATCCGGAGTTAGGAACTGGGCCAGAGGGGATCTGATTCACTGTGATCCGGAGTTAGGAACTGGGCCAGAGGGGATCTGATTCACTGTGATCTGGAGTCCGTTCTATTAGTGGCAAAGGAGTGGTTTCCAACCGTGTGTCCGTGCTCAGCGAGAGGGAAAAGGCGAAGCTCACACCCAGAACCGGGCTCCCCCAGGACAGGGCACCCCCAGGACCGGGCTCCCCCAGGACCGGGTTCCCCCAGAACCGGGCTCCCCAAGGACCGGGCTCATCCAGGGCAGGCTCCGGGAAGACAGCTCACCTATTGCTAGGGAAATCCATTTTGTAAATATGCCAAAAGAATGAGCGAGAAATCTGAGAAAAGGGGATAAAGTGATGAAACTGAGGATGATCTACTTATAAACTGGTTTTACCAGAAAATGATACGCCCTTTCCACGAATCGCGCACTTAGCCTAAAAATCAAAGTCTCTGGAAGCTGCCTTTCCAATGGAGAGGACATCTCTGCGGTATAATCATCAGATTATTCCCCTTTCATTGGGACCATCCGCTGCCTTTCAAAAGAAAATACATGAGCGTTCTGTTATCAGAGCATCATTATTACCTTTCTTTTTTTTACGATATTTAAGCGGCATCTTTTCATTTCGGTACAGCCAGTACAGCCTGAGATTGCAGGTTGTTTGTTGGGAACAGTCTCTTGGTTATTTTGGATGTAGTTCCACTGCCCCTATTGCAAGAACAAGGACACTGCCCACTGTCCTGACATGGCTTGTTCGCTCTCACTGAACCAGATGAGTTGACTTTTGCGTATGTTTTGCCTTCGAAAGGAGTGTTTGTATCGGCGCATGTATCAATATACCTCCTGAACCAGGAGGTCCGCGATCAAATCCCATTTGCTGCAGCGTTGTGTCATAACATCTCTGACCGAGTCTACTTCAGAGTGATAGATAGCAGCAGAAGGTTCGGGCTGAAAAGCCTGATCCACCTGTGTGTCTGTGGGGGACAGGAAACGCTGATTTAGGGTGCATTCGCTCATCTTATTTCGAAGTTTCAGTTGCAGAATTCTGCTTGACGATGTATTAATGATAGGACGCAGTTCTTATCTGAAAACAGTGTAGATAGTTTTGCAATGTTCAGCTTTATTGCTGTGAAATTGTATGCATGGAACTGGTCGTCTTTCGAATGAATCATCGCTAACTTCATTAAACTTTTCTTTCCCTGGACCCCTCCTTTGTCACTTCCCTTCGCTCCATTAAAAGGCTCCTTAAAATTGGCCTTTGATCATACCTTTTGTCACCACCTGAATCTATTCCTCATGGAATCCATAAAGTGTGGAAGCAAGCCATTCCACCCAGCAAGTCCACACCGACCCTCCGAAGAGCATCCCGCCCAACTACCTACCCTTTCCAATTGCTAATCCCCCTGGCCTGCACCTCCCTGGACACTATGGGCCAATTCAGCATGGTCAAGCTACTTAACCCGTGGGAGGAAACCAGAGCACCCGGCAGAAACCCACACAGACACAGGGGAGAATGTGTAAACTCCACACAGATAGTCGCCCCATGGTTGAATTGAACTCGAGACTCTGGTGCTGTGAGGCAGCAATGCTAACCACTGAATAACCATCACCACTGTTTAATGCCAGGATATTTTGTCTTTCTGAAACTTAAGGACATTCTTACGACACACACAGAATCTAAGGGCAAAATGTGACTGTTATTACATTCACCCTATGTGTCTGTATCCAACTGTTTCTGTATCTATGCATGCCTGCAGCTTTGCATGTCTGTATCACTATGTATGTCTGTATCTTTGCATGTCTGTATCATTGTGTGTGTCTGTACCCTTGCATGTCTGTATCTATGTGTGTCCATGTGTGCCTGTGTCCACGTGCATTTGTATCTATATGTATGTCTGTACCTTTGTGTATCTGCATGTCTGTATCGATGCATGTATCCACGTGCACCTGTGTCCATGTGTGTGTCTGTATCTTTGTGCATCTGCATGACTATCTATACATGTCTGTATCTAAGCGTATCTGTGTCCACATGTCAGTGACTATGTGTATAACTGTATTTACGCATGTCAGTGTCAGTGACACTTTCCATGATCCCTCTCCATTAATGACACACTTCTCAATACTCCAACCATTACCCTAAATTTGCCAACTGTCTGATTTGTGTTATCAATGAAATTTGATGATTTTCTTCTGCCAGCTATCTGTCCATTCTGTTAAACTTAATTCCATCCACATTCTGAGATAACAAGGTGTAGAGCTGGATGAACACAGCAGGTCAAGCAGCATCAGAGGAGCAGGAAGGCTGACGTTTCGGGCCTAGACCCCGCCTACCTCCATCCACATTCTGCCAGGTATCTCAGTTACAGCCTTGCTGTTGTTTCATTTCATGTTATTTCATATGCAAATAAGGGGCAATTCTTTTGGAAAAGCTGCCAGAATCAGTGGTATGCATTTCTACAAAGGGCACCACTGTCTCTGAGTAAGAAGCTCTGGATGTCAGTCAATACTGTGTACAGTCCACACCTCATCTCCAACACTGTATACAGTCCAGACTGCATCTCCAATCCTGTGTACAGTCCAGACCACATCTCGAATACACAGGTGGGGCTGACTTGTTTGAAGCCCAAACGATCCTGAATTGTCTTGACAAGGTGGACGTGGAAACAATGTTTGCTCTTGTAGGGTGGTCCAGAACCAAAAGACACTGTTTTAAAATTAGGGTTGCCCTTTGAGGACAGAGATATGGAGAATTTTTTTTCTCTGAGATGTTGGAACTCTGTCTCAGAAGGCATTCGAGGAGGGGTCCGTGAACTATTTGAAAGACAGAGATAGATAGGTTGTTGTTAGGCGAGAGAATCGAAGGTTACCAGGAGTGAGATGGGAATGAGGAATTTGGAATTGGAATGGATCAGCCATGTTCTTACTGAATGGGCAGCTCGAGAGGCTGAATGGTTCACTTCAGTTCCTGTGTCGTACATTCGCATATTCAAGTCATAACATTTCCAATTTCAACAATGAATTCGAGAAGTAATGTGATTAATTTATTGGTTTAATTGCCCTTTGTATCTTTGATTCATTTCTTTAGTTGATGGTTCAGCCTCTTAATAACTGGGACCTAACTTGATTTTAGTGTCTAGAGCTATGGAGCTGTTAGCATCGTTCAGCATGTGCAATCTGAGCATGTACCATATACTAAATGTTCCAGTATGCACCTTCAATCAGTCACGACCTTAAAATAGTTTTCTTTGTCATGCAGCATGGAATAGAACATTACAGAATGAGGCCATTCAGCAGAGTGACCTGTGCTGTTTCTTTGTAAGAGCTATCCATTTTGCCCAGCTTCCCTGCTGTTTCCCCAAAGGATTATTTCCACTTCCTTTGATCACATTCTCTTTTATTATTGAAAATGATTCTACTGCCTTTTCAGGCACTGTGTTCCTGATTACAGTTGCTCATTGTCTAAAAGGCTGTGGGGAGCTGCTGCCATGCATCTTGAAGGTAATACACATTGCAGCCGTGGAGAGGGTTGCTGTTTGGGCTTCAGATTTGTTCAGTCCAGATAAAAGCTCATTACCAGCTTAAGCCGACCACACCACCATGCCCTTGCGACCATGTGTCCTCTTTTTGAGAGTATGGTTGAAAATGGCTGTGCACTGGACACTGACTGATGATCCCCTGGCAACTTCCTACAGTATCATTCAGCCTGCTCCTCCACCATCCAGCATATCTCTGAGATTGTTCCCTCCAGCTGCCTCTCCTCTGCCAACCACCAAAACCATATCAGTGGAGATGCAGGTTCCTGAACAGCAATCTCCTGTTAATAGCAGGGAAGATAGTGAGTATTCTGAGGGCGCCTGCCCGGCATGAGTCAACTGTGTTCCAAACCCAGATCAAGTAAAAGACAGGCAATGCTTGTAATGAGTTACAAAGACCTGAGCAATCCATAAACAGAAGCTATGTGTCATCATTGAAACTGCAGAGTTGGTGGTAGAAATACATCAGCAGAGTGCACCATCTGGGAGCAGGTTTGAGGTAAAGGTATCACTGCAGGTTCTGCAGATAGAAAGTCACCACCTGGGTACTCAGACACACCAATGCTTGACTTTCCTCTCCAAGCAGGTGATTCAGAACCTCAGCAGTGACCCACCACTGCCTTTTGCCACAGAAGATGTCCATAAGCATCTTCTGTGTTTTGGTGCCAAACCCAAGGAGAAAGATCAAAGTGACCAACTGGTACAGCTGTAGTAGGGAGACTCCTCTGTTCATGGAAAACATGTCTCCCTATCCACCCCATCTATACCCTCATAATCGTATACATCTCTATCAGGTCAGCACCCCTGTGCTAACCTTTGCTGCTCCAAGGGAACAATCCCTGACTCTCCAATCTTTCCTCATATCTCAGACCCTCCAGTCCAGGCAACATCCTGGTAAATCTCCTCTACACCCTCTCCAGTGCAATTACACCTTTCCTATAATGTGGTGAACAGAGAAGCACACAGTACTCCAGCTGTGGCTTAACCAGTGTTTTATACAGTTGTAGTATGACATCCTTGCTCTTGTATTCTATGCCTCAGCTAATAAAGGCAATATCAGTTCTGAGGAAGGGTTACCGGACCCGAAACGTTATCTCTGAAATTTTCTTCACAGATACTGCCAGACCTGTTGAGTTTTTTTCCAGCAACTTCTGTTTTTGTCCCTAATAAAGGCAAATATTGCATATGCCTTCTTATGTAACTTATCTATATTGCCTGCTACTTTCGGAAAACTGTGGATTTGCACACCTGATCTTCAGTACTTGCCAGGTTCCTACTATTCATAGTGTAATCTCTTGCATTGTTTGCCCTCCCCAAGTGTATCTCA